GATGAAGTCGCGTCGCCCTGCAGCCGCGCCTTGTCCTCGGGCGGCGCCAACTTGCTTGGCTCCGACCTCCGAATGAGTGTGGCGCGGGTAGCAGCGACACGGGGGTAGGAGGCCATCTTCCTCGTGGCATCATGGTGTGGGACCCCGGCCTTTGCTTCGCGTCCGGGCGCCGTGCTCTACATCTTCATCTTCAAAGTGTGCCGTTGGCCTCCATAGAGCTGGCTTGGTGAAGAATCCAGTGGGGAGCACCATGACTGGCTAATCGGCATCCTCGTTGAGCAGTGATGAGTGGGGGCGGCCACCTTGGCGCGGGCATGCATGGTGAAGATGAACTCTGGCGACGTGTCGTCCTCATCGAGCGGTGATGAGTGGGGGTGACCACCGTGGCGTCGACCTCCAAGACACCAACCTCGATGGTGTCAGCGCCCATAGCACGGGCTTGGTGAAGATGAGCTCCAGCGACACGTCGTCCTCATCGAGCGGTGATGAGTGGGGGCAACCACAGTGCCGTCGACCTCCGTGACACCGACCTCGATGGCGTCAGCGTCCATAGCGCGGGCTTGGTGAAGATGAGCTCCGGCAACGCGTCGTCCTCATCGAGCGGTGATGAGTGGGGTGGCCACCGTGGCGTCGACCTCCGTGACACCGACCTCGGTGGCGTCAGCGTCCATAGCGCGGGCTTGGTGAAGATGAGCTCCAGGGACGCGTCGTCCTCCATGCTAACGTTGATGACCGGTGTGTGATGAAGTGGGCGAAGGGCGTGCCGACGAACTCTCGATCTCCGTCTCAAAAGGCATCCTTCCGTCGAGCTCTATGCCATCAATGTGCATGGCACCAGCTCGACAACGTCGTTGGTGGGCGACGTCGTGGCGTGCTCCCCGTCGTCATCTTTCGCGACACCATCGTGATGAAGTGGGCGCGAGTGGTGGTGGCGATCTCCGCGCCGCCGACCTCCATGTGGCCAGCTTGACGACATCGACAGTGGGCGGCATCGTGGCATGCTCCATGTCGTCGTGTCCCGCGGCACCATCGTGTTGAAGTGGAGTGAGCGGTGATGGAGACCCCGGTGTTGTCGACCTCCATGTCATCGTTTTCCACTGCGCCGGTGGCTCTATCTCGGGCGGCGGCCCGATCTGATCAAGGCAACCTCCTCTTCGGCAGTTCAGCATCGTTTGTGTAGTTCCCCCGTATATGCATTCTATATATGGGGAGCAAGAAAAGAAGTGGTAAGTTAGATCAAAGTACTACCTTCCTGGAACGTGAGTCGAGCGTTCGTGTTGTTGCCGCCGAGGTTCCTTGCTCGCAGATGGGCGTACGCCGGCTTCCTCCTCTCCGTGTACGCCGGCGTCGATGCCTGCGTCCTTTGTCCGGACGGCAATCCGGCGCCGCGTGAGAGAGCTTCTTGCGTCTCGCCGGGCTTCAGATCTTCTCTCTTGCTAGCCTCCGGGTGCTTCTGCGTTTCAGCGTGATGGATGAAGGAAGTGCTGTGTGGTGGATGGATGTGTCTCCTCATCTCTGGCCCAGCGTGAGTGTATTTATAGGCAGGAGGGGGTAGGCGCTGCGTGACGCGCAGCAGCCGTTCGGCCGTTGCCGATTTCCTTGGAAGGGATATAGACGGCAACGTGTTGATCTTGCTTCGTATGTTTATCCATCGGCTGATCTTCTTGACGCCCACTCCTGCAAAACAAGGTACAAAATTTCCTACCCAAGTGGCCGGCAGGTGGACCGATTCGATTGCCAAGCGTGTGACTCACTGACCGTCTAGAAGGCTCACCATTTCATTCTTTTTGTTGATTATACGACTATTCAAGTATGTACGCGCGCTTGCCGGCCAGCATACGGGCATTTGTACGTAGCTGTACGTGCCGGTCGTGGCGACCGCCGCGTACAGGCAAAGAGGTGCACGTTGCTGCTATACCTGGTCTTCAATGCATGCTTGTCGTACGCAGGCACTCTTTTTGCTTTTGCCATGCACCACGTATAAAGATAGGCATGCATGCATGCATGCTCCAGTCCCTTGTATGCACATATATTCTTCTTTGTATCCTGCACTTAAGAAAAATCTTCTACAATAAAAAAAAGTTAACCACGCCATCCATGATTTTTTTAATACTACCAAAACTAAATAACCTCTCTTCTTTGATACAAAATCACGTCGAACACCCACACAACGCAGCTGGCAAACAGCGTGGTGCGAACGTGTGGGCAAACTCTCCAACACCCACACACTAGTCCCGTCCTATGTGGCACACAAAATCAATCTTTTCGTGCCAAGATTCGTGCAAAAGGCACTGGACGACGATCGAGGCGTGTGGGCGAGTTGGGTAACGCCCACACGTGTGGGCGTTAGTGTTTTCGTTTTTTTTTCCCAGAAAAGTGCGGCCATCCCTCTACTCCACGTCCATTTTCCATGCCATCTCTGGCCAATTACACCGATGGGGAGACAATTAACTCTCCTAAAAGAAGTTCGGTACTCACATACCAAGGCACCGTCTCTTCAGTTGGTCAACCTCTTCGGGGCTTAAATTTCTCGCCAAGCTCCAAGTTAAATGTCAACGATGTATGCTAGCTGCCTCAAGATCAAGTTCAGGCCCCCTTTTTCTGTACCTGCCCATTTCTTGAGAGGACGTTGACTACCTTTCCTATAGAAAGAGTACCTTGGACGTTGACTATGTTGCCTGGAACACAAAACAAAGAAAAGGGACGCACGCAGACCTTTTCTTTCGACTGCGTGCAATTGGCAAGCAACGGGTTCGAGTTGAAAGCGCTCCACTTCCAGAAATGATTAGGAGTCTACGTCCATTGTTGGAGTACTGTTCAAGAGGACGGAACGATTCTTCTACTGAAGGTTCGATGTATGGGGCTCCAAATGAATTAGCTGAAATTTCTGCTCAAGCAAGCACGCAGGCAATGGTTGCTGGATGTTGCATCCGACGCAATGTCACTTCAAGTAGAAGTTGGCTTGGCCGCTGCATCTAACTCAAACTTATCTGCAACAGGCGGCTCATATATATCGAGTTCGTGTGATCTTTGCCCGTCGCTTTCATATCTGCCGAAAATCGTTTCGATCGGCGCAGATCATATCGCGCACACTGTTGGCCGCTGCCGGCGTTCGGCAAGGTCAAAGGGCCAACGCCCGCTTCAGAGTTGGGGCCTTTTCCAACGAAAAGCAAGAACTGTTGCCTTTTGGCTTGACAGCAACAGGCGCAGAAAGAAAGATAAGCATGACCAAATGGAATGTCGAATTAAATAGTGTTGGTACCTGGCGGCCCGCAGTCGGCAGTCGGCACTGGAACACAGCAGAGTAGGAGTGCGTGCTAAATTAATTAGAGAAAAATTACTTGTGCAATCATAAGATTTTTTGCGGGGAATATACAATCATTACTGGTTGAAGAGGGGACTAAGTTAAACTAGAGTGAAGGCTGACTTGTGTGGCTGTGAGCTTGGGGGTGCACATTTTAGTAGGTTGAGCTCATGTGCAGCAGCCGTCGGAAGAACGCTGGTGTTCCTTTTACGCGTCCTCTGTCAGCCAGATCTGCGAACGAGAACAAGGACTGGCACAGCCTGTGGTGAAATTATTATTTTGAGTTTCAAGTGCACCATCATTCATAGCCTCTGTGGTGTGATGTTTTCCCTGGAGTGGGCTTCTATCTTCTTCGGGTGGAGAGAAATGGGCGCTGAAGTGGAGTGGAGTGAGGAGGAACCAAACAATCAGGCGGCGGCACGCACCAGAGGGGCCCGGCGTTGGCAGTGGCGACTGGCGTAGGAGTGGGCGGCGACGCTGGCTGGCCAACGAAGCGAAGCAACGCATCGGACTCGCGTGATGATCTGCCGCCCCGCGCCGCAAAACGGCAAAAGTAGGCTCGCGGACGCCACCTGTCCACGGCTGAGCCGGCTCGACGTGGCCGGACACTGCCGCTGCGGCGACATGGCGGATGCGATTTCGCAGCCGCGCGTAGCGGTGCAGCGGCCGGTGTCCTGGACATTGGGTGTGCGGCGCGGGAGCTGGCCGGCGTCGAGGACGTGCCTACATATGCACGGGGAATCGAATATTCGTCCATTTTTTTTGAATACAAATATTCTTCCAATTTCAGGCCGCCTATTCCGATGTGGGGAACGGCGCATACGATGCCGCGGACGAGGAGACGCGCGCGAGATATTTACTGGGAATCTTCTCTCCGGTTCTACGTCGAGGAGCCACCCGCGTCCACGACGAGCTTTCTTTCCCGGCGACGAAAGGGAACTTTCCCGGTGAACCGTAACCAGCTGTGAAATTCGACGGATCGCGCCTGTGAACCAGCTGTGAATTTTTCCTCCGGGGTAAAAAAAACTGGGGTCGGGACGTCGCTAAGATTAGTTCAGAAATGATCGTTGCTGCCGCGTTCAGGAGTATTTCCGTCCGTCTTGGTTCTAGATGGATGTTGGGGGCAGGCAGGCGCACACGCAACAGTCCGGTGGCGCCGCACCATAATACAATTGAGAGTGGGCTGCGGCCGTGGACTTGCCATGCCACAGTCACAGTGGCAAACGACCAACCGAGGAGACCTCCCATAATCCTAGCTCAAACCACTCGCGCCATTAGATAAGTCGGCCCGGGATGCGAGAGATTTGACACGGTTTTATGGTTTTCCTATTCGGACACGAGATTATTAGACGCGGAGCAAGAAGAGGCTGAGCGCGAAGCTTGGTCAGGTCAAGCCCGGACCGCGCGTTCCCACCCACAATCACAGGAGGGACGCCGCCGCCGCGAGCGCGTGCCGAGACGCGAAGCAGCTTGCTTCCCACGCCTTTTCCTAATCCGGCCCCCACATGTCAAACACTTTCACCATGTTCCAAACTTCTCTTCTCCCCAAGTACAAGGCTCCCTATATATACACAGCACGCCCGCCAAAAAAAGAACCCATCAACAATTCGGCACAAGCAAGCTCGCCAACACAGAGTACCAATAGCAACCACCACAATCGCGATTCCGAGCACAGATTACAGAAGAGAAGACGCCGATGGCCGCGAGCAAGCAATGGACGCGGGTGCGCACGCTCGGCCGCGGCGCCTCGGGGGCAGAGGTCTTCCTCGCCGCGGACGACGCGTCAGGCGAGCTCTTCGCGGTCAAGTCCGCGACGGCGGCGTGCGCCTCGGCTCTTAAGAGGGAGGAGGGCCTCATGGCCTGCCTGCACTCCCCGTGCGTCGTCTCCTGCCTCGGCGGCCGCAGCGCGCGCGATGGCTCCTACCACCTCTTCCTCGAGTTCGCCCCCGGTGGCTCGCTGGCGGACCGGGTGGCCAGCAACGGGGGGCTCGACGAGCGCGCCGTCCGCGGGTACGCGTCCGACGTGGCGGCCGGGCTCGCGTACCTTCACGGCGCCGGGATGGTGCACGGGGACGTCAAGGCGCGCAACGTCGTGATAGGCGCCGACGGCCGCGCCAAGCTCGCGGACTTCGGGTGCGCCAGGAAAGTGGGCGCTGGCGTGCCGATCATCGGCGGCACGCCCGCGTTCATGGCGCCGGAGGTGGCGCGCGGCGAGGAGCAGGGCCCCGCGGCCGACGTCTGGGCGCTCGGATGCACGGTCGTCGAGATGGCAACCGGCCGCGCCCCGTGGAGCGGCATGGACGGCAACGCGCTCGCGGCGCTGCACCGGATCGGCTATACGGAGGCAGTTCCTGAGCTGCCCCAGTGGCTGTCCGCTGAGGCCAAGGACTTCCTGGGCGGGTGCTTGGTCAGGCAGGCCAGCGACCGGTGCACGGCGGCGCAGCTCCTGGAGCACCCGTTCTTGGCCTCCGCCGTGGTCGACGCGAAGCCGCAAGCCACGGAGAGCAAGTGGGTGTCGCCCAAGAGCACGCTGGACGCGGCATTCTGGGAGTCGGAGTCAGACACCGAGGAGGCGGAGCACGACAGCACGGCCGAGAGCAGGATCAGAGCATTGGCCTGCCCCGCCTCGGCGCTCCCGGACTGGGACTCCGAGGAGGGCTGGATCGGCGTGCTCTCCGCGCCAACCGAGGCACCCGACGCAGTGCCCGTGCCGGCCAAGGAGTCGACCGTCATCATCGCGGACGACGCTATCACAAGTGAAGAAGGATCGGTAGATGCAGAGTCCGGCTTTCTGGACATTTCCGTTGACGTAGAGCACAGCAGCAGCTTCCTCACCGCAGGAGATGCATCTGAGGATGACGCAGTCGGGGGCAGCACTGGCAGCGATCAGTTTTTGAAGGGTTTAGTTTCTTGCCGATTAGTGTCATGTAAATTGTTACTAGTACAAACAGTACTACTGTTTTGCAACATAATCATCAATGCAATCGATTTCGTTCTTGCACAAACAGTTTTCCTGCTCCGCGCCGCTCCTCTGTTTCACCGTGCTCCCCGTTGCAACTGATTGATCGGCAAATTCGGAGGAAAATTAGGTCACAGAAACAAACAAACAAACAAACAGTAAGTAGCAGCACGTCGCGTGCCCGTGACTCCGGCGGAGGAAAGGAAGTCCGGCGTGGATTCAGAGCTTGCGCGCCACGCCGCCGCACGCTGAACCTTCCACCGCGGAAAGGCTCGGGTCGACGCGGAAAGCGCAGCGTCACTGCGGGCGTACTGCTCGAATGGATCGTCGACACAAAGTGCCGCCGCACGGTCAAAAACCTCTTGTGTTTTACGTGGGTCCGGCAGATGGAGTCGACGGCCGACGAGCGAAAGCGAGTCAAGGAAGCGCCCCGTCCAGAGATTGCTTCGCCGGGTGGAGATGGAAACAGCCACGAGCGCCACCACCCCTCCGGTGTCGTCTCGCCGCGCACTGGGACTCGTCGACTCGCCGTGCGCTTCTGGATGGCGTGTCGGCTGTGCCCCGGCGCGGTCTTTTTTTTTTTTTGAGTGGGTGTGCCAGCGCAGTCGACACGTCGACACGTACCCCCACACCATGCTCCGCGATGCATGTTTCTAGACTGATGAGAACTGGCAGGCAAGTGCTTATCTGTTTCTCTGTTGAGTTAGTCCACACGGCACACGGCACACGGCACGCAGGGCACGAGGACAAACACGATGTAAAAAGAGCAGCCGATTCATGCCGGTGGCGTCGGTGCGTGAAGGCCGGCGATCACCGGGCTGTCCCTACGCCAAGCCGTACGCGCGACCGGAACCTGCTCTCACATGGGCAGATGGAGCGCATATTCTGTTTTCTTTGGACTTAGTCCAAGATATTTGTAAACATTTTTAATAATCTGGCTATTATTCTATTTGTTGTACTAGTATATATCAACTTGCGATTGGTGCAAAAATCAACGATCGTACAAGTCATGGAAAAGAAACACACTTATAAATGAACTTGTTTCTAGCTCAGTACTAATACTTTTTGGTACACGGTAGAGTTGTAAGCTTCATTCTTGCATGATTAACAAAATATTGAATTCAGCGCAAAAAAAACCAAAAAAATATATTGAATGAAACTTGATAGGACCCTGTTCACCCCTCTAGTCGATTGAACTCTACACTCAATTTTTGTCCCTCGGTGAAGTATAAAATCTCACTCTTATATTTTTTTTGGAACCATGTGTTGCTCAAATAAGCAATACTACTTCCGTCCAAACTATACTTGTCATGGTTTTAGTTCAAAAGTAGTTTTTTTTAGAAAGAAGGATTACCCCCGGCCTCTGCATCAGGACGATGATGCAGCCATTTTATTTATTATTCACAAAGACTTTAAAAAGTAGTACATTAGATAGTCTGAAGCCACCATCTTAGCAACAACTGTCGCTACTCCTATCCACCTGATAAAAGGGTGCCGATAATCCCAGCCTAATACCAAAAAGACATCGCAGAAAATGCCTAACATCTAAAGACAGAGGCCCCAACCAAGTCACATACTAGGTTTCGGGCACAAACTGGTCTGACGCACTCTCTGTGTCGTCTCCACCATCTTCCACCAATCTATCTTCAGAGCAGAAACTAATGCACCAACCTTGCCAGGCCTCTCTGCCATCGACTGCACCATGATGCCAGACATCATCCTCCTGCTGCGCGAGTCCATGTCCGCGCTTCGGACTCCGAGTCTCCACAACACCACGCCGCCGAGATCCGCCGCCATCAATGTGCAAGATGAAGCACCGCTCCACCAAAGAAGCCGTCCTCTGTTCCCTCGAGCCCGTGTGTACCTCCATGAATGACGCCCCAAGGGGGAAACGGCACCAGAGCGCCGCCGTCATCCGATCTACTGATCTAGGGTTTCCCCCGGAGATAGCAGAGAGTGGTTGTCGGTGTCAAAACCGGTGGATCTCGGGTAGGGGGTCCCAACTGTGCATCTAAGGCTAATGGTAACAGGAGGTGGGGGACACAATGTTTACCCAGGTTCGGGCCCTCTCTATGGAGGTAATACCCTACTTCCTGCTTGATTGATCTTGATGAATATGAGTATTACAAGAGTTAATCTACCACGAGATCGTAATGGCTAAACCCTAGAAGCTAGCCTATGATTATGGTTGTTGTTGTCCTACGGACTAAACTCTCCAGTTTATATAGACACCGGAGGGGGCTAGGGTTACACAAAGTCAGTTACAGAGAAATGAATCTACATATCTGAATCGCCAAGCTTGCCTTCCATGCAAAGGAGAGTCCCATCCGGACACGGGTCAAAGTCTTCTATCTTGTATCTTCATAGCCCAACAGTCCGGCATACGTATAATCCGGCTGTCCAAGGACCCCTTAATCCAGGACTCCCTCAGTAGCCCCTGAACTAGGCTTCAATGACGATGAGTCCGGCGCGCAGATTGTCTTTGGCATTGCAAGACGGGTTCCTTCTCCGAATACTTCAAAGTAGATCTTGAACGTCCGGCTCTGCAAAATAAATTCCACATACCACTGTAGAGAGTATATTATTCCACGAGTCCAATCCGCTGGCAACTTTTCGTAGCGTGACATCACGCTATGGCTCGGTCATTATTCGAACCATTTTTAGCCCGCCCCTCCGCATTTCGAGGTGTGTTTTCATTGACACGTCTTGTCAAAGCAGAGATCGTGTCCCCTCATCACGGGATTCTCATCAATACGGGTATGGGTAAGCCAACCGTACCATCTGCACGGCGCTTGGGGAATAAGCGAGTTTTAAGGCGAGTGGGGAGGCACATGATTTTTACTGCCTTTATAAAGGGATAAGGATTCCCCTTTTTCACCCACGCCTTCTCCTTCCTCTGCCCATCCATTCTCGAGCTCCAGCGCCCAAGCTTTCGCCTTCTCCGCCCCCAAAAGCATTCCAAACATGTCCGGATCCGGAGCATGAGGCAAGTGGATGGCCTCCTCCGTCAAGGAGAAGGACATCAAGAAGCTCCGAAAGTCCGTGTACCTGGCCGAGGAGGTCACCCACGGCTTCTGGCCAAGGGACAAATCATCCCCACCCCAGAGCCCCAGGAAAGGGTAGTGTTCGTCTCTCACTTCGTCCGCAGGCTGGGATTTCCCCTCCACCCGTTCGTCCGCGGACTGATGTACTATTACGGACTGGACTTCCATGATCTGGCCCCCAACTCCATCCTCAACATATCGGTGTTTGTCGTCGTGTGTGAGGCCTTCCTCCGCATCCCACCTCATTTTGGACTACGGCTAAAGACTTTTAATGGGAAGCCAAAGGTAATGAGTGGTCAGCAAGCTGAGTGCGGAGGCACCGTGGTGGGCAAGACGCCCAATGTCACCTGGCCCAAAGGCTCCTTCATGGAGACTGTCAAAGGATGGCAGTCGGGATGGTTCTAAATCACCAAGCCGCGCAGCACCAACTAGGCGGCGGCTCCCACATTCCGATCCGGAGTCCCGATGTGGCTCACCTCCTGGCAAGAGAAGGGCCTGACCTGGGGCTCTTCGGACGAGCCGACCATGCTCCAGACGCGCGTCCAGAGCATGATAAACAAAAAGGTCAAGCTCGTCAACGTGATTCAGGTTATGCTCGTCCTAGCAAGAGAAGGGCCTGACCTGGGGCTACTAGAGCTCTTCGGCACGACGCATGAAGACATCTGGAAGGTGCTTTTCAAGGCCAACAAGACGCCACCGCCCACGACCAAGGACGGCGGGCATAGCTTAACTCGCCTTGCTAATCTGGTAAGTTCTTTCATGCTTTCAAGGTGTACCCTTTATCTACATATTCGAGGAAGGTATGTAAACCTCCTTATCAATTTTTCCAGGACTGGACAGAGATAGCGGAGCGAATTAACTGTCCGGCTCCGCTGCCCGACGGCCCAGAAACTCCACTTCTGACGAAGATGCTATTTCCGGAGTCTTATGAGGTGTCGGACAAGAAGGCTAAGAAGAAGGCCAAGGGGACCAGAAGTGGTCTCTGCCACAAGAGTACTTCGGACGCGACGTCCAAAGACGCCAAAGCTCACTCCTCCGCCGAAGACATCGAGGAAGAGGAGGAAGAAGAAGAAATCCATTTCCTCCCTATAGGGGGGAGAAAGAAGAGGACGGCCTCCACGCGGTTGGAGGCCGAAGCGTCCAAGAAGGGAAAAGTTTCCCTTCCGGGCAGCTCCACCGCAGCCGCCGACAGCAGCTCAGAGTGGGAGCCCAGGGAGAAGCCCCTGGCCAAATCGTAAGTGTCCGGACACATTTATATATCCGTCCTTTCTGTTTTGTTGTTTTGTCATGTTTGAATCATGTATTTCCGGCTCGGTCCCATCTCGAGCGGTCCTTATCTTCAGAGGACTCGCTGGACCCGGCCGCGATGGATAGCGGGACCATTCCCTCGGCCTCCTCTCCCAAGGACACGGGTGACGCCGAGGCGTCGTCCCGAAGGATCCCAGGTTCGGGAGAGAACCCGAAGGCCGTCAAGGAGACGCCGGAGGGCGAGGCCTCGGTTGCCGGACACATGGGGAAGCGAGCCCCCATGGAGACTGACGATGGGGGCCATATCCAATTGGGCCCCAAACCGAATACTATTCCGGAGACCCATACGGCTCCAGAATCAGGCAAGCAGCCCTTCTCGAAGGAAGGGGCGTGCCTATTCCGCCGGCGACCTCTATCCAGCCAGAGGCGCTGGATACTTTGCTGGAAGCGCTGTGAGGAGCTTCCATTGTGGAAGAACACCGTACCCTTATGGGTACGGTTATTGAGAGGATCCAGTCCATGAAGAGCGGACTGACCGAAGCGTGCACGAGCCTTCTAATAGGCTTTGAGGTAAGCAACGCAAATTTTAAAAAGAATGTCACAGTATAGACAGTAGCCCCTGATACCATGTCCGGTGTTCGAAAAAAAAGTCGAACAGAGGATTAAATAAATTTCGCAGGAGTCTAATCTAAAATGTCTATGTGAATAAGCAGGCATCGCTGCTGGCTACGACCTCTCATACTGCGGAAGTCTCCGGACGAAAGTAGAGTCTGGAATGGGTCGAGGAAGAGCTCGGCCTCATGAAGAAGA